CCCCTCTCTCCTTTTGACTCATACTTCACTCAGTGATGGTACCTCATCACTTGGATAATTGGTAACTCCACGCTGAGATAATTTGGGGCATGCATGATAATACACAGGGTAGATAAAACTACGCCAGAGGAGGCTATCCGTTTCTCGTCCGTTGTTTGACACTTTTCGAGGTTTCTGAATCATGAGATTTACCCACTTGATTGCCAGATGAAAGAAAGGCCGGCTTTAGGTCTACTTTAAGATATGAAAACATTTCAGCATTGGGTGCTTTCTAAGCAAAACAATAGGGTTCTTTGATTCTTTTTTAGACATTCTTCAGAAATAACAAACATTCCAAGTTAAACTGAAAACACGCAATTCACTGTACAAATAAACTTTAAATTGTGATAGAACTCTGATCTTTAAAAAAAGTTTAAACAAAGTATAAGTTAGGATTAGTCACTTAATATTTTCCGAAGTCAAACCATTTAACTAAGGAAATTTTGCAGTGTAAAAGGCTGGTGACTAAATGATCTGAAGTGGGTACTAGAAACATCATAATTCCCTTTTAGAAATCCCTTTAAAGTCTGCATGCTTCTGCATTCTACCTCCATTAAATTATTAACATTTAAATCAACTCTACGCCTCTCTATTTTTTTTCCACTCCCCTAAAGAAGAAATAGGCGTATTAGCTCACACAGAAAGCATTTTAAAGCAAATATATTCGCTTCCTGCATGCTTTGTAATAATTCTCAATCTTCAACAAGTTTTATTAAACCTAAACAAAATCAGCCAACGAGGCAGTTAAAGTCTATTTAAAGTCCTTGTCATTGTGGAGAAAACTCCAATAGATTTTTTTGTCAGGTGATCAGGAATGACTGAGAGATAAGACATATACACTCGGCACAATTTAATGCCACTTATTTATGCTCCAAAAAAACCTCTTCGTTGAAGGCAACCAAAATTGATTGATCAAAACAAGATCTCATTCCTCTTACTGCAAAACCAGCCGAAAAGGAGACCTCAAACTACATAAGTAAATATAGCATGTTCTTCCTTACTGCCATAAAGATACTTCTTTTACTGGGGCCTATTGCCTTCCTTGGTATTACACGTCTATCAGAAGACATTGAAAATAAGGCAGAAACTCATGAGAAAATATGGGTCCCCAAAACAGCTACAAATCTAAAAACAAGCATTTTATCAATACAAAGCAAATTTGTCCATCGACACGATTCGGTACATATTTTGTGAGATTTAGTGACAGCACAATGCATCTTACAGTAAGGCGTGATTTGGATTCCCAGATTGGAAAAATTACGTGAATACCTCTTACAGCAAATTGTATTTGCTTGTGCTCATAAACGAGCCTCATTTTGCTAGTATTAATAGAATATTGAAGAATTTCAATTGAATAATAAGCACAAAATCTGAATTCGGTGACATATCTGTTTTTAATAGAATTTAATGTATTGTTATTTTATAAACCAAATAAGATGCAAAACGTCCATTATATACCATAAAGGAGCACTTGAAAATAAGTACTTAAAGGAAAGTTTAATAAAAGTGGATTATGATGCAAACCGTTGGGAAGCATTAGCAAATTGAAGTGAATTCGTATAGCTTATGTGAGTCGACTCATTGTTTAGTGTACTGCGCTTTGCTTATATAGTCTTATTCCCGTCGGCTTTGTTTTGAGCTGTTCGTTTTATTTTTGTGTGAAAATGTGGTTGTCTATTGCCAAGATAGGAGGTGATATTCATTTGGCAAAATATTACCAGGATGATATGGAGGATGAGAATAAGACTGAGGATTTCAGGTCTTATTAGGAGTAAGTTTTGGCGGTATGTGGCGTAACGGTTTGTGGCGAGTCAGTTCATCAAAAGGGTGAGTATCTCCGATTTATCAACTTGTTTCAAACGATTTTCACTCATAAGTTTATTCCCACATCTCCATATTGAACGAGGATGCATGGAGGTTTCAACCATTTATATTTGACCTTCAGAGAGTAATAGGTCCTGAAATATTTTGGAAGAGGTCCATCACAAAAGAAAAGCTTATGATCTTCTGAAAATGATGAATTGCCCTAAAATGGGAATTTGATTTTGACTGGTGATAATTTCTAAACTCATACTTTAATTCGACGCTTATAACGTATTGTTGATCCACCACATTTCTTATAAACTTGATAAAATTACTCAAGCTGCTGCATTTTGGGTAATTAGGAATCATAGTATTGGATGATTATTGGCAATTTGTTTATTTTCCGAGGTTAAATTTTCACCTTATAAACAAAGAAAAAGCTATAAATAATGCATCTGCGAAGAGGCCTAAGGGTATGACGAAGTTGTGATTGTAGGCGTGTCTTGCGAAGAAGGACAATAAGCACATCTTGTAATCTAGGCCTTGACACTTTCGTATATGACATATTGCAATGTAAAGTTAAACACCATATTACAAAGTGACTTTTGAGAGCGACACTTTGTTTCAATCAACTGGCCATAAAAAAGAACGAATCAGATTTG